ACAACCTCCAGCCTGGGTCTGACAGAAGCAGGAAGTCCAACCTGAACTGCTCTCACCGAGTGATGATGCCAGGCGATTATGTTATAGCATGCTCAGGTGCTTGTCCTTAAGCATCAGTGCTGACAGCAGGGGTCAAGATGACTGAATTCAGTAGAAACTTTGGAAAAAGAGAGGAAAGACTAGGGAAGCAGGGATACAGGGTCTCCTTAAATAGGAGGTCCAGAAAAGGTGGAAAACCTTCTCTTTGTATATTTTTTGATTAGGGGGAATGAATAAGTAGTGGATATTGGGGTTCAGACATGCAAGATGGTAAGATAAAGGAAGAGCAGACCCAAAGAATTATCTTCTGGATATCCTGGGTGCATATCCTAAGCCCATTCTCAGGAAATTTTCCTCTGGGGCCAATTTCTTTTAGCATCAACTTGCCTATTCCCTCTTGTCCTTATATTGTTTTTCAGAATTACATATTCCTTTTCTGTACAGATGCCTGAGCATGTCTGGGCTCTTGGAAATTCAGACTCCAGAAAGAACTGTGAGAAGGAAACCAGTGATTCCTTCTCAGAGACCTACTTCTCAGCTCCAAAGGTCTCTCTCGGGTCATTTGCTGGTTATTAGATGACACTGAAGGACATGTCTGAAGCATTAAAAGAAAAATCAACTATTTTGTATGAAATAATAGATCAACTTCTAACCTCTAAAAAGAACCGAACTTTTTCTAGTTCTCTATACTTTTGCTTTCCTGTCAAATATGTCTAACTAAACTAGTATGATTTAATTGTCTAGGAAACTTGTTATTAGTCTACTCAATAACTTTTATGTTCTGTGGAAACTTGGACTCTCCTTACCTCTTTGAATTGAAACTGGAGGTCAGGGGGGAGTTGGCATTATTTCCTCAGTGTAAAGGATTTTTGGAAAAGACAAGCATGCAAGCTCTCAGGGACTAAAGAAATAATAAAGAATAATACTGTAATCATAACAACTCCTTATTTGTTTCTAAGCTTGATCTTTCAGAAGGTTATTGTCTGGAGTTGAATACTAATGGGTTCAAGTTCTTTATGCAGAGGAAATCTTAAACAACTGTGTTCATAAGGAAGGACATTAATCAGGAGAGAGAAGTGGCCTTGTGCCTAATGTTTGCATAATAGCTACCCTTGAGTGTATTGCTTGACTTAAAAATAAATATTCATGCTTTCCATCTTCAGTACAATTGGAATTCATTTGTGGTTATGATTCTGTTATATGAGCTTCTAGTTGTTCATGGGGACTTTGAACTGGGAGGCTATTGGAAACAAACATACATGAGTAATATTGCTTGTGACTGAGTTTGGTATAGATGTGGAAAGGAGCCCTAATATCCTAATATGGGTCCTAGGGAGAAAAATATGCCGAGAGAACATCATAGCTCTATTCTAGAAGGGAAGGGTAAAAATCACATTGACATACTTAAGGACCTTTGTATGTTCCCTTCATTTTCTCCTTAAGAACTTTTTTTTGTTGTTGCTGGAGGTGGTTTTTTTTGGGGGGGAGGTGGGGAGCAGAGGGGAGGCACACCAGGAGTGCTCAAGGCTTACTCCTGACTCTGCAGTTAGGGATCACTCTTGGAAGGACCCAGGAGAGCATACAGTACAGGTACCGAACCCAGGTCAGACATGTGAAAGGCAAGTACTCTACCCACTGTGTTATCTTTCTGGCCCCAACCCTCTTGCCATTTGTGATGTGTGAAGCAGAGAAGGTGGCGAATTTAGAAGTATGTACCTTTTGACATTCTTTGCCCATTTCTGCCTATCCCCAATGTCTAGCAAACAGAAATCTCTCTGTCTCTGAGAGGGTTGGGGTATTGTCTTCTTAGGTTCCACGTACAAGTGATGTTATATTGTATTTGCTTTCATCTATCTGATTTATTTTACCTAGCATAGTGCCCTACTGGCCTGTATGGTCCTGTATAATTTTGTGTATAGATTTTTCTTTGTTGTAGATGAATAATATCCTTTAACACAATACTTTGTTTTTATATATTTGTTTTGTTTGGGGGTCATACTCAGTGGTGCTTAGGGCTTACTCCTGATTCTGTGCTCAGGGAACATTCCTGGTGGGCTAGTAGGACTTACTGTACAAAATGTGGCCCTAGTATTCTGTTTTTTAGGTAAAATTTATTGCAGGGGAAAGTAGTACATTGGGAGGGCACTTGCCTTACACACAACTGGTGCACACATTACTTGGTGCCAATCCTCAGCATCCCATATGATCCCCCAAGCTCCTCCAGGAGTGACATCTCAGAGTGCAGAGTCAATAGTAACCCCTTGAGCATCATTGGGTATGGTACAAAAACCAACAAAAATTTATTGTATTACCATTGGTTTCTAATACTGTATAGCGTTCAGAAATTCAGCTTTATACCTCAGTATGAACCACACTGCACATCCCACCAAAATTCCAGTGCCACTCATCATCAAACTGACCACCTTTCCTCTTTCTTTCCACCTAGTCCAGTAACCTCCTCTCCTCCACTTTTTCTCTGGCAATCACAGTTTTACCCTTAAGGGAAATTTTTGCTATTTTTATTATGTTCAGTTCATTTGCTTTATGTTTAGTTCACATAGCATGAAACCATCCAGTATTTGTCTTTCACTTAATCACTTCAGATTCTATTCATATTGTTATTGTTATTCATATTGTTGAAAAGTCAAAATTCCATTTTAGAGTAAATACACACTCACGTATATTTATATATATACACATACACACATGTATGTAAATATATATATACACATACACACCTATACACCACAGCTCCTTTTTTTTTTCTTAAATAGAGACACTCCCTGGGGTGAACGACAAAATGACTACCCTTCCCAGCAGTGCTGTTGGAAGGGGTTGTACAGTGCCAGGAATCAAACTCGGGGTCTTATATCTTTGAGGCATTTGTTTTTAACCACTTAAGCTATTTCTCTGGCATTTGTTTGATGACTTCTTTACCTGATGGTTTTAAAAGTCATTTCCTTGTTTTGGTTATGATGATTACATAGGGATGCAAAAATATTTTCCAATTGCTGCTTTCATATTCTTCAGATATATTCCTTGAAGTGGCATTGCTAGATAAAATGATATTTCTGTTTTTAGGTGGGCTGGAACAATAGCACAGCGGGTAGGGAGTTTGCCTTGCATACGGCTGACCTGGTCGACCCAGGTTCAATTCCTCTGCCCCTCTTGGAGAGCCTGGCAAGCTACCAAGAGTATCTCACCTGCATGGCAAAGCCTGGCAAGCTACCCGTGGTGTATTCGATAAGCTAAACACAGTAACAAGTCTCACAATGGAGACATTACTGGGCCCGCTCAAGCAAATCGATGAACAACGGAAGGACAGTACTACAGAGCTAGGTGATTTTTCAGGAGGGGGGTTGGGCCAACCCAGCAGTGCCCTGAGCTTATTTTTGATGCTGTGCTCAGGGGCTCATATGCAGTGCCAGGAATCAACTGGGGTCTACTGAATTCAAGACAAGAGCCTTAACCCTGTATCTCCTTACTATTTTCAGTAAAGGCTGAAACAATTTTTGTACCCACCAAAGGTTTTTGACTACTCCTTTCCCTTCATATTCCAGCAACACTTGTTCTGTCTTGTTTGTTTGGTTAAACACATGCCATTCTCCCAAGGTTGAGGTCATAACTCATCATAGCTTGGATTTGCATTTCTCTAATTATCAGTGATGGCGAGCACATTTTTGCATGCCAATTGGTCACCTATGTGTCTTTGGAAAAAATGTCTCTTCAGAAAAAATGTCCATTTCCCAGTCAGATTTTTCATTTTTGATGTTGATTTAGAATCTAGAATCTTCTAATTTGGGCTGGAGCAATAGCACAGCAATAGGGCATTTGCTTTGTGTGCAGCCAGCTTGGCCGAGCCGGGTTCAATTCCTCCACCCCTCTCGGAGAGCCCAGCAAGCTACCGAGAGAATCTTGCCCGCATGGCAAAACCTGGCAAGCTACCTGTGATGTATTCAATATGCTAAACACAGTAACAACAAGTCTCAAAATGGAGACATTACTGGGCCCGCTCGAGCAAATCAATGAACAATGGGAGGACATGGTGATGTTGATTTGTATAAATTCTTTATGTACTCGGGTATTAATATGTTGTGTGACTTTAAAGTTTTGTTCTCTCACTGGAAGCTGGCCTATATTTTATTGGATTACTTTGCTTTGCAGGGTATTTTTTGTTTTGTTTTGTTTTTAGTTTGATATCACCCCCCCACTTATTTGTTTGCTTTTGTTGCCTTACACTATTAATACGCATTTTCTCCTCTACCAGTTATATTTTATCATTCCCCTCTATTTCCCATATGACAATGAACATATCATTATACTTCAGTTTTCCCCCTTGATTATATATTGCTACAATCAGTTTGGTTTATCTGTGACTCTTATTTCTTATCCTGTGAGTAGGCAATGAATCCATGGCTAAACATAGGCTTATATTTTTAAGAGAATAATTCAGATAGGTTTACTTTCTTTTCATTTTCTATGATCCTATTGATTTCCAAAACAGCAGGTAATATTTTTCATTTAAAAAGCACACAAAGAAAGTTACTGGTGATTCTTGAACACCCAGAAAGGTGAGAGGAACTGGAAATAATAGAGGAAAAACATGAATGATCAATGCAGAAGCTAAAACATTTATATGATTTAACCATTTCAACAATCCTATAAGATTTGGATTTGCTCTTTTACAGATCTAGAAGCTGAGTTAAACCCAATGTGTGACTCCATTTTTCTTTGCTGTCATAGAGTTATATGGGGCTCAGGTGGACTCTAGAATAATTTTTAGAATAAGTAGTTGGGTAGAGAGAAGGAAAAAGGAGATCTTACTTTATTCCATTGACATGATTCGTCTTTGCTGCTTCCTGCCCCTTGTGTAGACTGTTTTGCAAAAATATGATTTTATTTCTTTTTTAATATTTTAATGAGAGTCTTCTACTAATGGGCCATCTCTTTTGTCTTCACAGCAATTTTGCAGGCAGTAATAGCTGGTGATCTTATGAAGGTAAGAGATCTTCCTGCCGAAACTTTTGGCTGTTATTTAAGGAGTTTGAATCAACTTCCTTTGCAACTGAATTTTTATGGTCTCATGTACCATTTATCACCCCCTTCCCCACAGTCTCAATCTCCTTCCTCCTCACTCCTCCATTCACCCTGTTGCCCATGCTGGTGGAGTGGAAAGAAAAGGGATATTCTTTAAAAATTAAGCAAAGTGGGTAAGAGAAGTCTTTATAGCTTCTGCACATTTCCTAGTAGCAAAGGTTTTATGCAAGGTTGCCAGACTACATTTGCTTTGATTACTTAAATGTACTGCATGCCCCTGAAATTCCTGGATTGGAAAAAGAGAGCAGAGAGCAGCCCAAATTTTTATTTATTACAAGTTGATAGGTGAAGATTAAAGATTTCTTTTTAGAATATAGATGTAAATATGTTAATAAAGTCAAATATTATCAATAAGTATTGTAAACGCTTTTTCTGCTCACATGTCATTCTCATGTACCAATTCATGACTGCCTCCATATCCCTGCATAGCCAAATACTGCACTGACTACTCTATATATACTATAAGCCAGTTCGTAGGTCAGGGTTTGTCTTATTCATCACATAAAAGAGTGTTGTGTCTCTGTAGATCAAAAATCCTAAAGCCTTAAGAAAAAGTAGGGAAGCAATGCCCTTGTACACAACTTTTATTTTTTTCCCATATATCCATTAAATGAACACTTCTGTATTTGTAGCAGGTTACCAGCAGGATGCAAAAGGCAAGAAAGTGCCTAGCATCTTAAAAAACTACCATCAAGGGGACTGGAGCAATAGCACTGCAGGAAAGGCATTTGCCTTGCACACAGCCAACCTGGGTTCGGTTCCCAGCATCCCATATGGTCCCCTGAGCACCACCAGGAGTAATTCCTGAGTGGAGAGCCAGGAGTAACCCCTGTGCATTTCTGAGTGTGACCCAAAAAGCAAAAAAAAATTACCATTGAAGTATTACTATCGAGATATAATCCCGAATATGGTATCCACACTGTTCAAAATCATAGTGTTACCAGGAATCCAAAGGAGAAAAGTGCTCTCAGTGTACCTATATGTTTGGTATCAATTCCCAGCAGTGGATTAAAGAAGTTCTATACTGTATCCCACACTTTCTGAGACCTAACATGAGGGTCTATAAGAGTGAAGAAATATTGTCAATATTGTCAATGATGGTTGGAGGGATTGCTCAGGATGGGAGATGTGTGTTGATACTACAAAACATGATGGACTCTCAGTATCTGTTTTGCAAATCATAATGCCAAAAATTAGAGAGAGAGAGAGAGAGAGAGAGAGAGAGAGTAAGAGGGAAGTTGTCTGCCATAGAGGCAGAGTGAAGGGTGAGATAGGGTGGGGGGGATACTGGGGACATTGGTGGTAGAAAATGTGCACTGGTGGGGGGTTGGGTGTTTGATCATTGTATAACAAACTAAAACAGGAAAGCTTTGTAATTGTATCTGACAGCGATTCAATAAAAAAAATTTAAAGAAGGAAGAATTACAATACTACAATAACTCTCATTTAAAAAAAATGAGGGAATAAGTAGGGATTTATGCCTTTACATGCTGAATTTCTAAGTAGAAAATTTTGCAAAATTTTGCCAATTTGAAACCTTTGGTTTTATCTTGCATGTGCATGTTTCAGGTTCCTAAGTCTATTACCATACTTTCATTAGTACATGAAAGAAAAGTATTTGTGATCTGTGAAATTGCTGTGTCCACTCATTGTAAATTGTTTCCTAACTAAGAAATGATTTAATAATTTAGTTGCTAAGAGATGAAACCTATGGGCTCTGGGATCACCTTTTTCACACTTTTCTTTTTCTTTCCTTCCTGGAGCAATAGCACAGCGAGTAGGGGAGTAGGGTGTTTGCCTTGCATGCAGCCGACCTGGCTGACCTGAGTTCGATTCCTCCACCCCTCTTGGAGAGCCCGGCAAGCTACCAAGAATATCTCGCCCACATGGCAAAGCCTGGCAAGCTACCCATGATGTATTCAATATGCCAAACACAGTAGCAACAAGTCTCACAATGGAGATGTTACTGGACCCGCTCGAACAAATCGATGAACAACGGGAGGACAGTGCTACAGTGCTTTCCCCCAATATGTTGTTCTTTCCTTCTCGATTTTCTCTGATTTTTCTCTTCTGTGTGGAACACACTGGAACTGTGAAGTAGTAAGCTCTATATATGTGCATGTGTGTGCACACACACGAGACTGAGAGTAAGAGGGAGCACACACAAAGGAATGGGCAGAGCATAGAGGCGTCAGGAGCCACGCAGTTGTGAAGTATGTTGTGAATAGCTCTCGTCCCATAGCTGCATAAGGTGCTCTCACGCGTTATGAGTGTTCACAGTTTCTAAGAATACCACAGAGAGGCAGAATCAAGGCATGGTGGATTGGGTCTGTGCTGCTCTGCTGAGCCTGAATCCTCTGTGGGTCAGCTCACAAAGAAGGGAGGTGTCACCGCGAGACAATGCCACTGAATAGAAGAGATTCTCTTAGATTTTTGTGGAAAACTATTAGCCACCACTTCCTGACCCCTTGCCCCGAAGGGTAGGGATGAAAGCCCCACTCTGTTCCTCAGTTGCATTCAACACTCCTGTGATCTGCTTCCTATGAAGTCTTCCATGACCCTGTTCCCATTCGAGGCGTTCTGCTTTCCACAGACCCTATGATAATCTGATCATGTTCCTCTTCATTCCTATGTAATTCTTTACACCTCTTTCTCCCCACCGACTGTCATGATTTTCAGGCCAGGAACTGAATCACTTTCATCTTTGTTTCCTGCTCCCTGGCACAAGTCAGTTCTAAGATTGCACTGGAATCAATGTATGAACTCTGAGTTTATCTCTTTGACCTGCCAAACTGTTTGGTTATTTTTAGTAATCATGTACCATCAAACTAGTTGGTGGTAAACACATTCCTTTTTCTCATTACCTGCTTGATTATTTGATTCTTGTTTGTCCCCAAAGTACCTTTTAGAGGTCCCAGAAAGGCTAGTCCTCTGATATACTGCATGGAGAGCAAGAAGTCATTTACACTTCCCATAATGTTTAATATTTCATGAACTTAAACCACATCATCATCTAACCACTTACTTAGTCTCCGGCTTAAAAAAAAATCTATTAGGGTATTTTTTTCACAGCACAGTCTGTCCTCTTATTTTATGTAGTTTGGGTTTCTGCCTCTGTTCTCTGAAGTTTTTTGGTTCTCATCCCATGGATCAACTCTAGCCTCACTGAATAAGTATTAGGTGGATAATAGAAAGCTGCAGGTTGAGTGTGGATCTTCAGGTAAAAGGAGCCATCTATGTGCATGTATGTGATATGCATACATGCATAATATATGTGTGTCATTTTATATAGGAAGATGACAAGATGCTTCTATATTTAGTAACGAGATTCATTAGAGTCTGTTAAAAGACTAAGGACAGCAAATGAGCCTAGCTCCAGACCCCAAGCTGTTTCTACCTCGAGCCTTATTCTCTCATGCCAGGAAATGCTGAGTCCGTATGTGGATGCTTTGGTTCTCATATCCCACTCATACCCCTCCCTCTCACTCCCTTGGTATGGAGACCAGTGCTCATCTAAGAAAATGGGAGGAAGAAAAAAGGAAAAAAATAAGTAATTCAGCATGTTTCCATTTCCTGAGGCAGTTCAATATGCACATATGCTCTCTAGAATTGAGTGAGGTACTGACCATCTATTTGAGTCACACAGACCCCGGGAACGTTATTTCATCTCTTTGACTTTGTGTCCTCTGAGACTGAGAACATTTGTGATTTGCTCCATTATTCTCTCTCTCTCTTTTTTAATCTTTATCACCAGGTTGCTGTCTTAGTTCTGGACTCAGCTTGAAATTATTTCTCTCTGTCTCTTTTCCAGCTAATAGAAAGCTATAAGAATGGAGGCAGCCTGCTAATTCAGGGACCAGACCGCTGCTCACTCCTCCACTACGCAGCCCAAACTGGCAATGGGGAGATTGTGAAATATATTCTTGACCACGGTAAGTAAGCTCAGCCGACCCAGGTCGCGGACCCATGAAACTGAAATGTCTCACTTGGTTCCACCCAGGCTGTCTGTCTGAAGAATAGCAGAAACGCTCTTGGATTTTCTTCGTTTCTTTGAAGCAGCTGAGATTGCGAACCATCACCATCTAAGTGACCAATCTATTCATAAAAATAAGTTTCATATTAAGATTTTTAGTGGTTCATTGAATTATTTTTTAATACATACGGCATCATCATGTGCTCACTCACATTTGCGCTCTCTCTCTCTCTCTTTTTTTTTTTTTGCTTTTTGGGTCACACCCAGTGATGCTCAGGGGTGACTCCTGTCTCTGCACTCAGGAATTACTCCTGGTGGTGCTTGGGGGACCATATGGGATGCCAGGGATCAAATCCAGGTTGACTGTGTGCAAGGCAAATGCCCTCCCCACTGTACTATCTCTCCAGCCCCTCATATTCTTTTTTGCTCTCTCTCGCTCTTTCTCTCTCTCTATTCTCTGCTCTCTCTCTCTACTCTCACTCCCTCTGCTCTTTCTATGCGTTCTCTCTCTCTCTGTCTCTTTCTCTCTCCTTTCTTCCCTCCCTCTCTCTTGCCAGTGTTTGAATCTCCTATTTTTCAAGCCAGGTTATACTTCTTTCAAAATGTCAGATATTTTCCTGACCTTGGTGGCAGCCATGCTCACCTCCTAAGCTGCTTCCTAACTAGAGTTTCTAACTTCCCACTGGATCACTTACTGGAGGTATCACATGCTATGGATTCTTCTAATGGCCCTGTGGAGGCATTAAAACATATGATCAATACCAAAACTTGACCATAACTTTCAGCATCTGTGTTCCTAGTATTTCTTTGAATAAGGTGGTATAGTGTCTGTGTGGCTTGCTTCGTTTAAGGAAGAAGGACTGAAACCCTTTCCCCTTCTGCTAGGTAGAGTTACACAGAGACCCTGGAAGAGTTTCTTTGTGTGAAGTCTAGTAGTAAGCGCATGGCTACCCTCTTTGCAGTCTAAAAATATAGCTATCAGTATGAAAAGCATTAGTAAACATTTGTGTTCCTCTTGTTCCCCTTTTTGTTCAACTCAGCAAGCCTGTCTCATTCCATTCACTAATTCATTCAATCATTCCACAGACACTTGGGAAATGACTAACAGGAGCTCCTTGTTAGAGACTGGCATAAAAACAAAAATCATTTGCACTCACTGTTTCCACACAGTTGCAGGTTAAAGAAACCATGGAATCATGCGCTTTATTAAATTTAAAACAGTGTATTTCTCGTGCTTGTTGATAAGCCATAAATCGATGTCGTACTATAGTACTTATCAACACATACAATATCCCAGACATTTAGACTAAACATATTCTATCACTTAGTCTTTCTAATTTTACAAGGAATTTTATCTTTCCTTTTGTGTGTTTGGGTTGTGGAGGATCATTTGCTTCATCTTTGGTACCTTCTCTTTGTGTAAAAATTGACTTGACCCTTTGATCTAAATTGTGGTAGAAGAGTTTTTTTAGGAAAAGGAATGAAAGTAAGATGGCACTTACTATAGGATTTCTGACTCACCTGGGGACTGGATTGGAGCCCTGAAAAGTTTAGGTACATTCAATCTTTTATTGGTACTGTTTCTAGGGCCTCATGCCTCAATTCATCTCTTATTCCAGTCAGTCAGCAAACTTCCTGCCTATTGTACTCTCTCTCTTGGGTCCCCTGCAGTCAGTTTTGATGGATTCAGGGGTTCTCTGCTGGGACAGTTGGACACCTCAGCCTTTCTCTGCATCAGATCTTTCATCCCAGCCTCCTTTACAGCATGAGAGCCTGAGGCTTCTGGTAGGGCAAAAAAGGAGCTAGAAGCTTTCCACATACTGAAGCCAGTCTGGAAAGATCCACATCACCTCTGCAAAATACTCCGTTTCAACTACAGAGATGGTCTCAAGGCACAGGGGAATATACTCCTCTAATTTATAGGAGGCAACCTACCGAGAATAACTCGCCCACATGGCAAAGCCTGGCAAGCTACCCGTGATGTATTCAATATGCCATACACAGTAACAACAAGTCTCACGATAGAGAGAGACATTACTGGGCCCGCTTGAGCAAATCGATGAACAACAGGAAGACAGTGACAGTGACAATTTATAAGAGGAGCCGCAAATAATTTGTGACTGTGTGTTTAAAATCTTACAATCCTTCTCCATCTTCTTCAGCTGAAAGTGATGAGTCTACCTTACTATTTTTTTAATGACCCTAAATTTCAGAGTTACTCAGTTATTCATTATTAGGCTTCGGGCATACAGTGCTCCAACACCAATCCCTTCACCAGTGTCCACTTTCCTCCACCAACTGTCCAGTTTTCCTCCTGTCTCCCAGCCTGCCTCTAGAGCAGATACTTTCCCCGCCACCATTGTCCTAGTCCCTAACTTATCCCCTGCCCTCCCCCTACCCCACATCCCATTCTAATCGCAAGCTTCCTACTGAAGACTTTCTTTAACTGTAAACTCCTGAAGTTCGCAGGAACTTGGCGTTCATGTTTTCCTATAGTTGGGGGTCCTAATGATAAAGGACATCAGGAAATGAGACCAGGCCAGTTTCAAAGAAGAATGGCCTTAAAGGAAAGAATCACTGGTATGTGAAGTTGGAATATCAGTAGTATGGGCCCCGGATATGCCAATAACCTGGACCAGCCAGAGTTGATCATCTCAACATCCTGCTCTTCACTAAGCCCCAACTTACTCACTTTCCTACTTTAAACTTGATAAAAAGTGCTCATACATCTCCCTAGTTAAGAAAATGTTAAAGGAGAAGAGTGTCCTCTTTTCCCTGGAATCCCGTTTGGGAGATCTCCTTTGTAGCAAAGGAAGGCTTTCTTTGTTGTTCGTTTTTTCTGTCCTCATAAATAAAATCTCTTTTGAACTTGGCCATTTCATTTCCAGTCCCTTGATACTCATTTTGGCTTCTTAAGGACAAGGATATAAGTTGGCTGTAACATTCAGGTTACTTAGCAATAGTTCTTTAACTCTGGAAAGTCTTTAGTAGCCCCCCCCCCCCCCACTTAGCATAAGTATGTCTCATGCTTTACTGGGGAGATAATTATTCTAAACTAAAACCTCTCCTCAAGCAAATCCCCTCTAGAGTGATGAGTTACAAGAAGGTTTTACTCTCACAGAATTTTCTCAGTTATCAATACACCATTTTTCTGCATCTAAGTAATAGACTCTTGGTGAGTGAAATGAGTCAAAAGGAAGGGGACATAGAATGATTGCATTCATTTGTGGGATATAAAAAAAACCCAACCATATGAGACTAGTACCCAAGGGCAGTAGAAACAAGGGCTGGGAGGACTGGTCCACTGTTGGAAGCTTGGGGGTGGCAAGCTTGGGGGTGTGGGGAGATAGAGAAGAGACCACTATGACAATGGTAGTTGAAAATGGCCACTCTAGACAAAAATTGAGTGCTGAGAGTAGGGAAAGGGGTAAACAATCTATCAGTACTGTATTGCAAATCATAATGACCTCTCTGATGGACAGAGAGAGAGAGAGAGAGAGAGAGAGAGAACATAAAGGCAGGCAGTGGGAAAGGGTGTCGTGGTAGGGAAACTGAGAACATTGGTAGGAAATGAACACTGGTGAAGGGACGGGTGTTGGAATATTGTATAACTGAAACCCAGTCATGAAGAACTTGGTAACTGTATCTCATGGTGATTCAATTAAAATTTTTTTAATTAAAATAACCTTTAAAAACCTCTGTTATACCCAGAATATCTAGGACTTGTCGTGCATTTATACACATCTCCCCACCCCCACTGTAGGTTGGTATACATATGTAGGTTGGCTGGCACCTTGGTCTTCTAGAGCTTTGACTCAAACCTAATATTCTAATGTTGACTCAGTTTCAATGGGATCCCTTGTCCCTTGTATAAAGCATGAATTATGCAATGGGGTTCTTTGTAATAAAAGTGAAGAGTTTTGTTAATTTCTTGAGAGGAGACTGCTTGTCTTACTGATGTTATCATTAGTTGTGTACATTAGTTTACTACTTATTCTAACGAGAAATATTCATGTACTCAGCTCCACACAGTGACCTCTCCAATAATTTTTGTGGTCACAGTAACCTCCCCAGAGTCACTCTGTGGCCAGGGGAAAGCTAGGAGGACAGTGGTGATGGTAAAGCACAGTCTATCTCTTCTATTGGAACTAAATCTTATAATCTGCGGTTCAAGGATCACTACAGTTTTACTAAGTAACACATTATTTGATGGTCAAATAATGTAAACAGAATATATTAGTTGGTTGTCATTAAAGTAGTAAGCATTCTGATGGACATTGTTAATTTCATTTATAAGATCCATGTCAGTGCTTCCTTTTTATTCAGGTATATAGATGGGAATATCTTTAACAGTCACTAGACTAATTCACCTTGGTTTCTTAAGAGCTAAGCACTGGGTATAATGAATGGATCGTCTAATCTAAAAGACTGGTTTTTAGCTTTTTTTTTTTAATATTTGTTTGTTGGGAGCCAAAAACCACTCAGGGCTTATTCTTGGCTTTGTGTTCAGGGATCACTCCCAACAGGGCTTGAGTGCCAAGATCAAACCTGGGTCACCCTCTGTGCTATCTCTCCAGCCCCCTGGGACTTTTTTTTTTTTATATATGCTGCTGCCTCTCGCCAGGTTTTGGATAAGTAACTCCAGAAAAGATAATGCACAGAGGACTCTAGGTTGTATTACCACTGTCATGGTTTTGCTTTCATTGTTCAGTATTTGTGGTTGCTGCTACTATTGACCTGTGCATTGGGGAGTTGAAACCTGTCTGCAGAATCATACTTCTCTTTTGAATCATAGAAATCTCTTTACATTGCAGTGTTCTCAAAGTGAGAGACAATAACACAAAAAGCATGACCATTTGGTACTCAGAAATCCTCTTTTTAATGTGATCTCTGTTGAGTGAAACAAATTATTAGTCTATCCTAATTGAGTGATGGTGATGGCCCTAGAATTCCTCTGGT